TTACTTATTTTTAGGGACACTTGGGACCACCTCTCTTTGTCTTCCAGTTATTATAGCAAGGACAGAACTGCTTGTTTCCGTAAGTGCCTGGAGGCACACATAAACACTTTGCGCAGCATTTCTGGCAGAAGAACATACATGGCTTCTTGAATGCCGTCTTCGAGCATCTTGCGCTACAACGAGGCGCGCACTCTGAGAGTTAAAAACAAAAAAATTATGATAAGATCGATTATACATAGTATTGGATATTGAAAAAAAAAATTTTATTCAAAACTCATTGGTTATTCATACAAAAATACATATAGCCTCTTTCTGGGATTGCTTTTAATCCCAATTCTATCAGATTTTGATAATTGATCAGAATTTTCGTAATAAAATAATTGCCCCAATACAGTGACCGTTTGACTAGGTGCAGTAGGATAGGAGTGTATTTTATCTATGTGACTATTTTACCCTCCACATTTCTAGCAGAATGACATGACTGTCCCTCAATGATTTTATTGTTGCCAGCAATGAAGGGCAAAAATGACGGTTGGCAAAGTGCAATCACATTTGACTTATCAATTGTTGTGGCACTCCCAGACAGAGGCATAGTGTAAAATTGTGCATGTATAAAACTCTTTGGTGAAAATTATATTTGACATAATTTAAATAAATGATTTGTCCTGTACTCTCCGACGGGGTATGCTTTCAGACAAGGTGGTTGAACAATTCTTACCCTGAGGATGAAGGCTACCAGGAGTTGCACCGTACTGTACATAAAGCAAAGCATGCACAAGGGTTAAAAATACGAAAAAGAGCTAAAATTTATTCTTGCAAGAATGATTTGAGTCTACACCCTAAGAGATCTTACAGCAGGAAAAGTCCCGGATGGTTGTGGCTGAGGAGCTGGAGATTCTATGATTGTTGCCTGCAAACGTTTAACACTTAAAATCGCAGAAATTCTAACGAGCACTGAAATGGAATAAAGTCCTTTATTTAAGATTTAAAACTAGGTGTTAAATATAACATCAGAGCTACAAAGATTCTGAGTTCGTGTGACATACACCGCTACCCATCTATAAAAAATTGCATGTCGATTTTTCATAATAAAATGCCAAGAATTCAAATTTGCATGTTGAGAGAGAGAGAGAGAGAGAGAATTGTTGCTTACTTGGTTCTTCATTAGCAGAAGAATCATCACCAAAAGAAACTGCATCAGATAGCCTTGCTTGGTAGCCATTCTTCGCCCAGACGAAGAATTTCTTACAAATCAAATTAAAGGGAGAAATTGTATGTAAAATATAAGGTATATCTTGCCAAGTAAATGGTGTATTTATAGGGGATTGGACACTTGTCTATCATATTGTTCTTTTGCATGGAAAAATGACACGATGAAATAGTACCTAAACGACAACATTGGCAAACCTCGAAAATGAAATAATCATTCTTTGGAATGGGAGTGAAATTATTTCGTGTTTATTGTTAATTTATTTGATTACGTATATAAAATTTGGCATTGTAGTCATCTCTTTTTGTAAGGGAAGTTTTAAGTGTGCTATAGAATTTATACTTTTATTTCAATCAGATAAAAAAAAGAATGGCAAGAGCAAATTGTACGTGTATAAATAAGGCGTATTACATTCTATTAAAGGTTTTATGTGTAACCATTCAAATTCGTTTCAAGTGCATGTTTGATATGAATAAAAAAGAAGTTAAAATCATGTTTATTATATTGCATAGTCCCGATTAAAGATATACTGATAGTATATTCGATATGATTGATTGAATAGAATTGAAAATTTTGTTCATTATACTATATATATCAAGTTATGCACGGGAGTATCTATACATAAATTCCAAAATCACAAAAATCGATGCATGTGATACCAATAAGATTACAATGATATAATAGTCCTCACATCACATGCATGTGCACTCACATGCAACTGAGAAAACTAACACTAGAGAGACCGTTACAAGTGTAAGAATCCATTTGCATCCACACACTCCTTTCTCTTTGTTTTGTCTTAGGCAAAGGAATAGATATGTAAAAATGACATCTCATCTCTATATCCATTTCTCGTGAACCCCTTTTTACATGC